CTCCCTCGAGGGGGCGTGTCCTTTCCGGGCGGCTCGGGCCGGGAGGGTCCCTGTCAACTTGCTTCATTGAGCGGGTGGCGGTGAGGAAGCGTTGCGCTCCCTGTGGGGCGGGCTCCACCTGCCTGCGGTTAGATGGAGGATCACTTTGTTCCGAGAAATCCCGGGCGTGCGAAGGAGGATGTGAAACGGAACGACCCGTTTCTGTGAGGTCGGCTTTGTTTATTTGCCTCCTCACAAGACTTGCCTCTTGTCCCTGACGCCACCGAACCCCAAGGGGCGGCAAACGGCTGCTATGGCCGCTGCGGCCAGACGGGGTCGCCAGCTCCGTACTCAACGGCCCGGCAGCACCAGGGATCGCCTGCCCCAACCGGGCAGAAGGCATATTCCTCTTTCAGGTGACCTATCTTTGGGGTTTTTGACGGAAAGGCGCCGATAGATATGTTTTAAAGCCCACGACACCGTAGTAATTAATTGACTCAATACTTGTCGAGCGCCTATTGCGTGCCCGGCGCGTGCTAGGCTTCGGCTGCAGCTCTGATCAGCCCGGACACCCACCGGGCAGCGTGCAGGGCACCACATCCTCTCCTCTGAAACACATACCCCTCAAGACTCTGCCGGCCGTATTGTCCGGATTGTCAAATGCCTTTCTGGTAAGTCCATCAATTGAATAGCTTGTCAGTGGTGGAGGAAGAAACACGTGAAAATCATATAGTCTCTGTCTATGGGAAGGAAAGACCCTGATCAAAATAAAAGAAAGTTAATTACGGCTTTATCCCCAACAGCTGGGGGGGGGGGGGGGGGGGGGGGAGGGGGGGGGAGAGAGAGAGAGAGAGAGAGAGAGAGAGAGAGAGAGAGAGAGAGAGAGAGAGAACACAATGCAGCTTGCAAAAAGATGCTCTCAGCCTGTGGCCTGAAAAATAAAACTGATTTAATTCCATAATTTGGAGGCTTTCTGGGTTGGAAAAGCCAACTATTAACCTTGCCAGACATGGAAGCCTATAAAAATAGGAGCTGAGAGGTGGTAGTAATAGATATATGGTTCCAAGCCTTCCTTAAACTCTTCTAAACCAAACTGGGTGACAAGCTCTTCTAAATCTATTCAACAAAGAATATTTATTTATGTATGTATTTAGCAAACAATAGATTAAAGGATCATCACTGCAGGCTTATTTCAAATTCCATCAAGGCAGGGCCATTAAACTCAGGTGGAAATGATATGGACAGGAAACAGAGGCTAATACAGAAAAGTCAAGATTTTTCAAGTCAAGAAACTGATTTGAGGCAAGCTCTTTGTCCTGCCTACTCATAGACAGAATTGCCTTCGAAGAACATTTAAATGGGTTTTACTGTTTGCTTTTATTGATCTAATCTGTTGTCTTTCTTTTCACGCCTTCCTTTGGATTACCTGCTTTTAATTGTATTTTTCCCCCAACAGTTAGATTTATTTGCTATACATTCTTTATTCTTTTTGTAGTGTTTCAGTTATTTGTTGCTGTGTCCTAACCACCTCAAAACTTCATGACTTAACTCCTATTTGCTCAAGATTCCAGATTCTTTGGCTCAAGAACGCAGTCAGGCCAGAGTGCATGAGCCACACATCTGCTCCATGATCCCTTGGGCCTTAACTGGGGTGGCTCAGATGGTTGGGGCTGGCTCAGGGAGGCCTGTGTGTCTTGGGCTGTTGGCTAGATTCCCTGGTTTTTCTCTACATGGCTTCTCCATGTGACTAACTTGGACTCCCTCACAGCATGGTAATTCCAGGATCCCGAGAGGGAGCATTCCAAGAGAACAAGCCTCAGGGTGCAGGCCTGTGCTTACTAATGTACCATTGGCCAAAGCCAGTCACATAGCCAAGAGCAGAGTCTATGGCAAGAGGCCATGAATTAGGAGGTGTGGTTCATTGGGAGCCATTTAGATTAAGGACAGATCAACTTAATACAATTAGGGATTAATTAAAAGTTTCTTCCAGGATGTAGCCCTTGGGGATTCCAACTTAAAATCTTTCCCCACCTCCCCGGGTCCTGAGCTCAGAATTTTCACCCTCCACTCCCCACCCACTGCCCTTGAGAACTTCACAACCTCTCCACTACTGCTTTCAGAATGTCAATTGTCTCAGAAGGTAAAATGGCACCAGATTCTGGACTCATTCAGCACTCTCAGATCTAGTCTCTTCCAACTACTAAAGTTTTAATGCTCCAAAATGTACCCTCCACAATGTCCACCTCAGATGGGACTCCTGGAAGACAATAGAATAGGAAGATCCTCTTACAGAACAGAACCAGGAACTGACATATTAACTGACCAAGGGCATGGATTCCTTGCTATACCAGTAAGGATTTGGTATTTCTATGGGCCAGAGACCACTGTGTCTCCCATTTTCCCCTTTCCTGAATAGGAGTTTTACCAACATTCTGTTCTTGTCTATCCACCATTGCTTATTAGGAGTGTTGAGGCAGATCAATTTTTTTTAAATATTGGTTGCCAGATCCACACTCTTGATGGGAAGTACCCCACATCATCATCAGAACTTCTGGATTCTGGGCTTGAGCTCATTGCAGTAACTGGATGAGACTTTGAGAGTGTTTCTCTTAGGGAGGGGATGAGCGTATTCCTTTTTTTTTTTTTTAAATATATTTTATTCATTTTCTACAGAGAGGAAAGGAGAGAGATAGAGAGTTAGAAACATCGATGAGAGAGAAACATCGATCAGCTGCCTCCTGCACCCCCCCCACTGGGGATGTGCCCGCAACCAAGGTACATGCCCTTGACCGGAATCGAACCTGGGACCTTTCAGTCCGCAGGCCGACGCTCTATCCACTGAGCCAAACTGGTCCCGGCGAGCGTATTCCTTATATGAAACGAAAGGGCAGGCACTGCTTGTTGCCCCTATCTATTAGAAATATCCTGACACTTTAAAAAAAATGTTTTTATTGATTATTTTAGAGAGAGAGGAAGGGAAAGGAATAGAGAGAAACATCAACGAGAGAACATGGATTGGCTGCCTCCTGCACACCTCCTACTGGGGATCAAGCCAGAACTCAGGCATGTGCCCTGACTGGGAATTGAAATGGTGACCTCTTGGTTCATGAGTCAGTGCTCAACCATTGAGCCACACCAGCTGGACTATCCTGATACCTTTGTGGGAGATGGGAGGAAGGATGGCAATGAGCTTAGCTAAAAAAACTCATTTCATTAGATCCCATACTGATATGGGTGGCCATGGGATATATTTCTACACATATGGTGAATATGTCTAGAAAAAAACATTTTTTCTTAATATGACTACTAACCACCTCAAAACTCCATTTTATACCCTTTTTTCCCCTTCTAGAATGAGGATGGAGGTGGACCTCATGACAAAAATGAAAATGAACATGATATGGAAAATATGAAGATGGACTCTACAAGATAGGGATGCTGAGCCGAAAGATAAGAGTTTGGGTCACTCGACATCTTGAAGCTGCTGCAGCAGTTCTAGACTGGCTACATCTGGACTTACTTTTATGTCTGAAAAACCCCAATTTGGTTTTCTGTTATGTGTAGCTAAAAATTTTCTCAGCTAATACATAAACTATCATGTTGTCTTCCAACTATTCTTCCTGCTTGCAGGCTCTACCAGTTGGATAGTAATATGATATAGCATGTGAGAGATATAAAAGCTGTCACAAAGCAATACATCAACTCCTATAGCACTTTTTGCCAATTCTACACTTATACCAAATTAATGATTAAGAAACATGTTTATTAAAGAAAAAATAGAAAGTAGAGAGGAGACCAAAGAATCTAAAGTCCCATTTTAACATTTTTCTATAGTTCCATCTTGTTTTATTTAAAGACTTTTTTCTATTGTAACATCACTGTATAGTCATATTTAACGTAACACTATATGTTAACACAGTCTTTTAAACAAATAGCTGTTGAATATTCCAAATAAATATAAACAAGTTTTACTTAACTGGTTCCTTATCATTGAAATTATCAATTCACTTTAAAAAAATGTTTGTATTGATTTTTAGAGAGAGAGGAAGGGAGAGGGATTGAGAGAGAGAAACATTATGAGAGAGAAACATCATCAATCGGCTATCTCCTGCATGCCCCCCACTGGGGGTCGAGTCCGAAACTCCGGGCATGTGCCCTGATTGGGAATTGAACTGGTGACCTCTTGGTTCCTGGGTCAACACTCAACTGCTGAGCCGAGCTATCAATTCACTTTTTAAAAAATCATTTTTTCAATGAGTATCTAATACATTTAAGTCACTGGATTAAATATTGTAAGTACTCATACATGAATAAGTGCCTCCTCTCTGAATGCTCTTCAAAACTGCAAAAGGTACAAATATATACATGCAACATACAGTATATAGCATATGCATGTGTATACTTTCTATATGTGGCCCAAAGCCATTTAATATTTTTAAAATATGCTTATAGGACTGAAATATTCTGATTTCCTTTGCACATTTATTTTATCACTTTCTGTTTTCCTTGCCTGCTGGATTTGCCTTAGCATTACTGATCAATAGAGTACTCCCAATG